TAGCAAGAACGCTACTAGGGGCTCCTGGCCTTACTACTAGTAGCAAGGACGCTACTAGGGGCTCCTGGCATCGCTACTAGTAGTTAGAAGCTACTAGGAACAAAGTCCAAAAGTCTAGTGTTTCTTAGGCTAAGGTGGCAACCCACAGAGCCAGGCAACAGGGCACTGCTGTGCACAAAAACCCAACCTGAAGAACAAAAGCACTACAAGCAGTGACAAGCAGTGACAGGAAGAGCAAGCAAAGCAAAGACCTACAGCAATGCCTCCTGAGATTGGACTGTGAGCGTACTGCTGTGTAAGAGGCGTCTTCTATTATTGCCATATGTGCTCGCCTTCCAGCGATGCTCGATGCTGCAAAACAGATTCCTTAGATCATTGAAAAGCTGATGAGCTCATCCAAGTGAAACTTTTGCCGTCCAGCTAAGAACAACAGAATCCTCGGCACTCCAATCAAGTTATATAAGTCTTGGAGTCTTGTTCTTGTGCAACAATCCCATCATGCACCGCAACAAGCTGAGAAATGCTAAGGTAAACACTCCAGGACTATAGGAGACCTGGCGCTTGGAGTGTGCAGCACACCGAATCAAACAGTTTGTCTCAACGTGGAGAAAGCACCTTCTGCCCTGTGATTTCAGCCATCTGACCGGGTCCTGTGCCAATAACTTTGATGATATCTCAAGCTGCCAAAATAAAGGTCGTCCTGGAAGAGCTTCTTCAGGAATGTCAGAAACGGGCACCACAACCTACCCGAGTCGTGCTTTGTATGACAACTTGGTATTTGGAGGAAATCACTACGAAGCAGTCATGGGAACAAACTAGGAGCAAGGACGCTACTAGGGGCTCCTGGCCTTACTACTAGGAACAAGAAGCTACTAGGAGCAAAGGAGGAAAGAATTCTGGGAAAAGAACCATCAAGGCCATCGTCAGCAGCCATCAGGCAATTGGAAACGATGCACACGCCGCACAGGATCGAAAAAAGAATGTGCTCTTTTTCGAGAAGTCGTCGTCCAAGACCTAAGGCACCCAATAAGCACCTGGAAATCTATACAAATCCAATAGCGATGGCCTCCAACCTAACAGGCACCCAATAGGCACCTACAGGACCTACAGCTTCAAGCCTGGTCAATTTGAGTCGGGAGTTGGGGGTGCTGACGGTGGTATCGGAGTCAAACCCCTCAAATCCCAAGCCTGGTTGGCAGGCCAAGCGGAAAGTTCAGGAACGCGCTGAGCAGTGATGTCCTAAGTCCGAGGGCTGATTGAAAAGATCGTGAAGAAAGCAAACTGAGAAGCAAACGCAATAGATCTTGTTCTGGACATGCTCAGGCCTAAAAATGTCGAGTATGGGACAATATGGTAAGAATACATATGCAACTGATTCGGGGCCAGGCACATCATCCTCACCCTGTCGCTCGATTCCGCGATTCAATTCAGACCATTCCTGCGTGGTGGAATGAAATTGATACAGTCAAATCGATCAATCCCTTCGGCACTGAACTCCTTTACCGGAATCATTCCATTTCAGTACCCCTTCCTTTTTGACGACTGTTCAGCTTCCAAGCTTTCGACAAAACCGATTGTGCCCAAAGCAAACTAGGTAAATCATGGTGAATCATAGCGAATCCGTGGAAACTACTAGTAACAAATGCCACGCTAGTAGCAACAGGTGCCTTACTAGTAGTAACAAGAAGCTAGTAGCTTCTTGCTACTAGTAGTAATGCCCTTGTTGCTAGTAGCGATGCACTTGTTACTAGTTAATAGCATTCTTGTTATTGTGCTTCAGCTTTCTTTCCAAGTCCTGAAAGTCCATAGGTCCCACAGGCATGCTTTTAGAGCCTGGGCACTTATTCGAAAAAGAACCATGCACTGCTATGCACGCATTCTGACTGTCCACCTCCCCAGATTCGTCGGTGTAGGAGCACGCTGCTCAGCATAAGCTGGTACAGCGCCTGCAATGTGGATACAGCAAGGAATTTGCCCTCCTGATCCTTTTTTGTGAAAGAATATGCATGCTGCAATGGTGCGTATTTAATTCTCCGATGAATTGAAAAAGGATGCTAGAGTAGAGGGTAAAGTATCGGCTGCTAGAGCAAAAGCAATTGTCACAAACTCAAGAAACAGACGTGCTACGGGTCGTCAAATTTTTTCAGAAAGAAGAGGTATCAGCTTGGGGGCAGCGGTTCTATAACTGTAGTCGCAAAACTTGATTCGTTCATTCTGCAAAAGGTGTCTAGAGAGGCATCTTTGCATCGTTCACTCACACAAAACTCGTACACACAAACACACACGCACACACTCTCTTCACAAGACTGTGAAAAAGCCTATGCTTGCAAATCTGCCCCATGCCTCCTGACCCGAGAGGTACTGCAGGAGGTCTAACCTTGCTTGCAAACATATATATATGCAGTATATTAATTGGTTTGCGCACGAGATTGTGTTTATATGTTTACTGTATATGAAATGGAAAAAAGAGAGTGGGTGTGCTTAAGAGAGGACACACTAGCTCAAAATTTATCAACAACACTTTAAATAGCGCGCAAGATTATAAAAACTGCTCTGAGACCTAGGCGAAACGAATATCTTGCTATCTTCCTGTACCAAATTTCTATGTGTCAATGTGTAAAATCAATGATAAGCATTATTTGTTTAACTCTTCCTTGTTCAATATCAATAACTGCCTGGTAATGTGCATTCATGTCTTCTCAATATTGGTCAAAGCTGTTTGGCTTTGGCAGACTTCAGCTTCAACACTCTCCCCTCATGAATGTTGCCTTGATCCCAACGGACCTGTCTATTGTTCCAATAGATTGTTCATGTTATGATTGATTCGTTCTATTCGTCCATCTATGCGTTAATTTCTTTGATGTCCTTTTCATAGGCAAAAAGCAATCCAAGTAAGACAGATTTAATTGCTGTATGAATTTGGCTTTGGCTGGCATCTTGCCCAAACCAAGAGAAACAAGAACCATGACAAGGCAAACAAGAAATACATATATATAACAGCTCAATCTCCAGCACACCATTTTCTCCAACTAACAAAGCACA